CATGAATATGCTGCATATTTGTGCTTTCATAAACCAATTGCGGATGTAAGGATAAAAACAGATGGCTGTACCAATATGCCTATATTATTAAAAAGTAGCTCTGCAAGCTGGAGACAAGAGCTAACATTTCCTATGACTGCCTGCATTTCACCACCGCACTTCAATATGACTCAAATTGTAAGGCAGCCCCCATCCTCCACAGAGGCATGTAAGACCGTCAGCCACAGTGGGTGGGTAGGGAGGATTGCCAGCTTAGCCATCAGTGGCTGAGCAGTTGCAGCAGTATATCAGCCTTCCCAGCTAAGAATAAACCACTGCCTATTTCAAGCCATCATTTGCCATTGCTCCTATTTTTCCTCTGCCCCAGGCCCCAGTCCAGCAACAGAGGGAACAGGGACAACCCAGTGAGAATCCATTCTTAGGGCCTAACAACATGTTACATTAATGAAATAATTAGCAATCATGTTGGGTTTTTAAGAAATGACATGGGCAGGAGGGTGTGAGGATCTAAGCCTCTCCTCCCCTGACATAGTATCTGTGAAAATTGCCCCCTTGTATGGCAATTAGCATTGAAAAAGAGTTTCCTTTGGTTTAGGGCAAGGTGACTAAAAGCGGGAGTGATAAGTGGTGTATCAATCCAATACCTATATCTATCTATAAAAAGGTAAAGGTACCCCTGCCCGTACGGGCCAGTCTTGCCAGACTCTAGGGTTGTGCGCCCATCTCACTCAAGAGGCCGGGGGCCAGCGCTGTCCGGAGACACTTCCGGGTCACGTGGCCAGCGTGACATCGCTGCTCTGGCGAGCCAGAGCTGCACACGGAAACGCCGTTTACCTTCCCGCTTGTAAGCGGTCCCTATTTATCTACTTGCACCCGAAGGTGCTTTCGAACTGCTAGGTTGGCAGGCGCTGGGACCGAACGACGGGAGCGCACCCCGCCGCAGGGATTCGAACCGCCGACCTTTCGATCGGCAAGCCCTAGGCACTGAGGCTTTTACCCACAGCGCCACCCGCGTCCCATATATCTATCTATACATCTATACATTTACACACACACACACATATATATAATTGTATAGGATGCAGGTGGTGCTGTGGTCTGAACCACTGAGCCTAGGGCTTGCCAATCAGAAGGTCGACGGTTCGAATCCCCATGACTGGGTGCTCCTGCCAACCTAGCAGTTCAAAAGCTAGGTACCGCTCCGGTGGGAAGGTAAACGGTGTTTCCGTGCGCTGCTCTGGTTCGTCAGAAGCAGCTTAGACATGCTGGCCACATGACCCGGAAGCTGTCTGTGGACAAACACTGGCTCCCTCGGCCTATAGAGCGAGATGAGCACTGCAACCCCAAAGTTGTCCGCAACTGGACCTAACGGTCAGGGGTCCGTTTACTTTTACCTTTATATTATTGTATAAAGTAAGGGGGGGACAAAACTGAGCAGAACTAAGCAAAACTCTCACAAATGTATATCTACACACAATAAATCTATGGTTGCCATATGTCCAGAATTTCCCAGACATATCCAGAATACTGCAACTGCAAGCAGTATCTGTCAGGAGTTCAGCCTACACTTGAGTAGGACCCTGGCAGAGACACATGTCTGACTGGCATGTTCCCTCCCTCCTGGTCGATCGTTCGGGAGCTTCATAAGCTTTCTTCAGCCCAAACATCACAGCGACCGATGCCAACTGACACCGGCACACATAGGGATCCGCAGAGTTTGTGTATCATGCATGTGACAGACCTCAGCAACTCAGCATTTTGGCTAATCTACTTTATTTACATATAAACACACATGGAGCACTGCAACATAGCTGCCTCTCTCTCTAGCATCAGACAGCAAAGAGAAAAAGAACAAAGGACAATAGTCCCACTTCACAGAACACAGTAACACAAACATTCTGTCTTCGTCATTTCCCACTCTGTGGAGTCAAAACACATACCAACATGTGAAAGACAAAAATCACATGACTGCAATCATGGAGCAGGAATTCTAACAGTATCTGGGAGGAAATCAGCTAAATATCAGGGAAAATCCAGACGTATGGCAGAGCCAATGTCGGCAGTATCGTTTTTCCTGATTTTCCAATTTCTTTACTCAACAACTTTGGGCAAAACTTTAAAAAGCCCAACAAAAATCTGTCCAGATTTTCACTTTTTGAAATATGGCAATCTTATCCATGTCTGAAAACAAAGAACAACTTTCTATATTGAAAGCAATAGAGCCCATTAAAATAATAAAGTTGAATGAACTAATGAACACGTTTTGCAAGCAATATCCCCTAATATATGCAGTCTAGTAAACATTGTTTAGTTGGAGAACTGTATCACAAAATTCAGATAAATGTGAATTAGCAAGGATAGCTGTGTTTTGGTTTACAAATTTTTTCAGAAAGCGCACATCTGATAGATTTGGCTTTAACTGCATACTGAATCTAATTTTACTTTGTCATACCCTCCCTGGCCCAGGTCTTATGAGTAGGGGGGAACTTTATTTCAAATCACCAATCCCTTTTGCTTGGTAAATGTTCTTTCAACCCTTCTGGGTTCTTATTTGCCTCCTAAGGTTATCAGGTCTAGCCTTCCAATAGTTCAAACAATCTCTTAATTATTGGTATCCCACTGTCACCATATAAACACTGTTACCTCTTGTTTACTCTGTCACAGCCCTGATAGATTTGCCAAATATGATACATGGTAGGAACAACAAAATTACTATAACAAAAACTAAATATAGTAGTTTCTTATATGATTGGTTTCTAATAACTGTGTTAGGATACTGTGTATTCTGACATGCACTTATAACTATATCCCTAATCCTATCCTGCCTACTTTATCCCTTACTCCTCAACATCCACACCAGCCACCAGCAAACTGTCTTTTGCTCTCTTCACACACCTGTTCTGTCACACTTCACCCTCAGCCAATCAGCACACAACACACTCCAACATCCCATCCCTCTCTCATCCCTGCTTTACACTCACCTCCCTGTGTTTTACAAGTATCTCCATACCTAACATGTACCCAGTGCTTTTTTCTGGGGGGACACATGCCCCTAAACATTTTGTGAATCTTTGTATTTTTGTCCATTTACTGTATTTATGTTTCCCAATTTGAACTATAAAATGGTCATCATCATCATTTTATTTGTATGCCGCCTTTCCATAATTAAAGCAATGCTCGAGGCGGCTTACAACATGACAAGATTTACATAATTACCAACATAACAAAAGTCATAAACAATAAATAAAACACATCAAAAGGTACACAACCAAATGGGAAAAAATTCCACATAAAATCTAAAACAAAAAAATACAACATTAATATCAATAACAATTTAAAATGGCACAGATAAAAATAAAAACAATTTAAAAAGGAGTCCTCTCTTTTGAGCAGCAGCAGCAGCAGCAGCAGTCCTTTATGGAGCCTGTCAGGCCCTGCCCTAAGCCAGGTGGAGAGAGGCAGGGCAGGGCCCTTCAGGCTCCCGGCAGGTCAGTCCTGGGCAGTGGCAGAAGCAGCAGTCCTTTATGGACCAATGGTGATTTTCTTGAATCAAAATGAGAGTGCCCCTAAACATATTTTTTAGAAAAAAAGCACTGCATATACCTTATATCTTTTAATATGCAAAGCTGTATAAGTCAGTCACAATGACAAACACCACACTACTACATCCCTACTCTAGAGGAATCAGAGGCACAGCGTAATGAAGAACCAAAAGCAGAGGCCATAAGTGTTTTAGTGGTGTATATTACCATACTGCTTAAGCTGGCAACTTGTATTGGCCCTGTAACTCTGAAAAAGAGAGAAACTCACCACAGTGACCTGTCAATTGTTTCTCGAGCACTCACTCTTCTCTCATTCCAGTCTTCTCAAAGAAACATCTGTCACACTGCTGTTAGGTCTGGGATGCAACAGACTGTCAACCTTTCATGCACATCTGAGTCAAACCTGAATTTGCTGTGCCAGAGTATGCCCTGTACCACACATTGCAGATACAGAAGAACTGTCTCTGTATTGAAAACATGCCAGGACCCATGTGCTCTCTTGTTATATCTAATAAATACATGCCTGGTAAAAATGAAAGGTTTTTTTAAAATTATGTTGGTTTCTCCCCCTCCCCCCTCCCCAAAAACAGTGTTTCCTGACCACTATCTATATTGCGATCAGGGCTAGCCGTGCCATGAAACACAGTGAAATAAGTTCAAGTCCCCCTAGGGATGACTGTGGGCAGGATTCCTGCACTGCAGGGTATTGAACTAGATGAGTCTTGGGGTTCCTTCCAGTTCTACAATTCTATGATTCTATGATCTGCTTCAGGTGGGGAGGGAGGTGATAGAGAAAGGTGTCTGAATGGTGCAACAAGGCCTTGGAAAGTTTTGGTTCCCCTCTCCACTCCCCGCAGTGCTCATAAACAATTGCTTTTACCTGACAGCACAACAGACGGCCCATACAACCTCCCTTTTTTCACATGGTGCTGAAATGAGGTGCCACCATCTGGCAAGCATGATGGGAGGCTGGTGGCAATAGGAATCCCACCACCAGGGCTACAAAATGGTAGTGGGTGCTGGGGTGGGGCCAGGAAAAGCATCAGCCCTTGCAAATGGCTCACTAACCTTGCTGATGTAGATGCCAAGCTTCTCTGCTTCAAGCAGCAAAATGCCTAGGGCTGGAACGGAGGATGATATCAATTTGCCCTAAGAACTCCCAATTAATAGCTGAATGTGATGGAGCTAACAAAGGCAGGCATCCTCCCTACCGTTTTCTAATGGAATGACAATGACCAATAGCCCCAAAGGACAACATGCTACCGCAAGACAAGCCACGCTCTGCATTTTTGAATCTGTACAGTATGCTGTTTGTAAAGACAAATAACAAAACATTCATATTTTTAATATTTTTCTCTTTATGCTTATACTTTTTTCAATGACTCATTCTGGCATTATATTCCTGCACACATTTTGAACAGATTCTTTAAAAAAAAAAATTGAATGTAAAAGTCATACCTGTGGGCACAAACTCTCCATATGACTGGCTGCTGTTTGGACAATTTTTATTCCTTCTTCGTTTGTTGATACTGAGCAAGCAAGATTAGCCACCTGGAGAAAAAACATTGACATGTTTGCATTTATCCCCAACACAGATACATAGTCCATAAAACATTTTTTTCTAGAACATTATTTTCACAAATAAGCATCCCATACTTGCATATGACTTTGACTGCCCTTTAATTTCAGATAGTGTCCTCTATGTATTTAGAAGGGTGATATGCTAAGATGCCAATGACAAGTATACATTCTGAGCCTGTGGTCAACAGGAAATTTAAAATGTCAGTCATTATTGTTATATTGCCAGATTTGTATATCTCATAAAGAAATAGTCATTGTCATTTATTGCAACACTGATGGAGGGAGCAATCTCACCCAGAGAAAAGCTGTCTTTGCTAAATAATCAGGATAATTATAGCACTGCTAAGATAGCTCTTTTTTGCCATAGCCACACAAAACCCTGGGTGGCCATTTGTTCAGTGAAATGTTGTAGATTGTAATAGTGACCTGTTGACATTGATGCCTTGATAGAAGCTGGCTCGATGATACATTTGATTGTGTGCTTTGAATTTTGCTTTAAGCCACTGACACTTTTATCTGTTGAGTTGTGAACTTAAGTTATGACCTTTGATTGAAGAAATAAACCTACTGACAATAATGAAAAATTTTACAAGCAATAGTATCTTTTCAGGATATCAAATTTAAAACATAGGACCTAAATAAAGCACAGGTTGTCAGCTGGCTATCTTTGTTAAGCTAGCTGCCCACTAACAATTCAGAATTATCAGTTTATATTTCCTGAATGGGATGTACTGTTTCCTTAATGGCCAGTCTACACACAGGATGGGTTCTGAGACAAGCATTCTACTGAGTCAGGGTTGTAGAAGAAGGGAAACTTAAATTTGGGCAAAGAGCCAGAAAGTAGTGAGCATTGACCTTTTGGAATCTGATGCAAGATTTATGAATGTGCCTCCTCCTCTAAGTCTTTTGGCTTCCACTATGCTCCGCTTGTATAGATATGGATCAGGGCAAGAGAAGTGGATCTCCCCTAGCCCTTGCAGGCAAGTTCACCAACCTATCAAACACCTGTTGTAGCAATGGAATCAGATGATAATCTGGTCTTTTACTGCCTTTGAAGCACCACTGATCAGATGAGGCTTAAAGGGATTGGCTGTACAATCAAGTTCCCCACAGGGAACTCTTGCCATGCAGCAAATTCAGGAGATTTGGAATCATCATCTATAAATTATTTTCTGCAGGGATTGATTTAACTCTATTGCACAATCTCTACCTGCCCCACTCCTGATACCACAGATAACATCAGGTGTGGGGCAGATGCGCATGGTTTGGGGAAAACAACATCAAGGGGCCAAATTGGACCTACGTTGTATAAATTGCAGATAGACAGATATTACAAAGACTGCACAAGTCTTCATTGGTCTCTCATTATAAGGAAACAAATTCTGCAAAGAGACCACTCCTGGAGCTTACTATTGCCCAGGGAAGCTGCCCAGAGTGGCTGGGGCAACCCTGCAGGATGGGTGGGGTATAAATAATAATAATATTATCAACTAGTGCACCCACTTTGTAACAATGTTTTGTAAAACTGAAACCATTCAAAAGAGGTGATATGAATGACATTTAAACTGATAATGTTATGTTGGAAGGATGCAAATCACACCAACGGCAAGATATCTCAGGAGTCAACTCAATTTGGCCCAGAAGGTCTAGGTGCAATATTATTTGTTAACTGAAATCACAGTTACAGTCTATCAGTTTGCAACCAATTTTTTAATTTATCTGAGAAACCCTGATTTACCTAAGTTGCCTTTCACCTCTCCCCTAGTTTAACAGCCCTAAATACTACATATTGTACTTGAATAGGATTGCTGCCATGTCTCCAAACTAAAAACAATAGCCTTCTTGTTGCAAACACAGTGTAGCAAATAATTGTTTATATCCCTTCAATATTGTTCCTCGCTGCAGCTTGAAAAACCTTTGTCTATAGGAAGTTTATCAACTTCTGTTGATCAAAATGCTTTTAGCTTATCAAAAACTGTAAGATAATTTGCTGGAAAAAGAGAAGACGGGAATTCTAACAATGCACCCAATCTGCCAAAATGTAATTACAGCTTCAGAATGTCTACAGTTCAGAATGCTAGCATATTTAATTATTATAAAACTATAAAATAATATCTCATGCATAATCATTCCCCTCTATCTTTAATTATCCCATTAGGGTACAATCAAGATGTAGAGAGCTAAGTTACTTGCCAATGCAAGAATAAGGCCATAGAAACCCAAAACATAATGTGAGATCACTGACATATTTGGAAATTTGTAGAGTATTACAAGCAGAACATTGTGCTGTAATCTATATTATCATCTGAAGATACCACAGACATGCCCCATGAAGAAGCAATCCATTGTTTCAGTGCTACTGAATCTACACAGCTAAGCAAAATACAGGATAATGGATCTCAGAATAACTCATTTGGTAAAGGCTGCACTAATGCCAAAATTATTTATTAGAGCAAATAAGGAGATGCAAAATTGGAGATGCAGTGTGGATAGCAAAAAGCTCATATAGGCACCCAGTGCAATTAAAGACAGTTTCCAAGAAAAAGTAGATGATGATTAAAGGATCATTTATGTTTTTGGCAAATAGCAGTAAAAAGGATTAGGAACACCAACTGTGAAACAATGATACCGAAGCAAAATCTAGCAAACAAATTGTGAAGGTACAGTTTTAGAGCTTAGCAAATATATGGAGAAAACTGTTCATCTGGAAAACTATTTTCTAAACAACAGATTAAAAAACACATTGAACTATTAAAGTATCAGCACCAGATATGTTAACACAGAAAACCTGAAGGATATACATAAATACAGGGATCTAGTTTTGGAAAGTAATAACTTAATGGTATTATCAAAGCAGACACCCAAAAATACTGTTAAGAAAAAAATTAATAGTTTTCTTAAAATAAAATAAAAGAGAGACCCACAGGTCAGATACTACGGATCAATAAACTTACATGTTTGTCAGAGACATTTCTTTTGTTTGAGAGACTTATGGGAAACATATCTTAATCCATTCACAAACTCAGGTTTATTCTTTGAAAAGAACAAGAAGACTTTAAAGACTCTGCTTGTACTGATTTACACAGCATTATCCGATTAAGAAATGAACTATTCAAACTGTTTTAATGCTGCTCTTGTGGCCCTTAATGGGATTTTTTATTACAATAGAAATGTAAGTTTTGGAAAGGAATTACTGGAATTTAAAACTGATCATGTACGTTGACTGCAAAGGCAAGGTGTAAATAGCTAGAATTCAAAATAACTAGATTCTGGCTTATTAGGCGACTGGGCGTATAAGACGACCCCCCAAATTGGCAGCTGCCGACTGGGGGGTCGACTTATACGCCCAGTCTTATATGCAGCAGCTTTGCTGGGCAGCGGCAGTGGATGGCGGGCTCCACTCCGTTCCACGCCGGGAGGAAGCTGCCCGGCGAAGCCAGCTTAGCATTGCTGGGCAGCTTCGCCAGGCAGCTTCCTCCCACTGTGGACCCCGCCGCCCACTGCCACTGCCCAGTGAACCCATACCTGGCGTATAAGACGACCCCCAACTTTTTAGAGGATTTTCCGGGGTTAAAAAGTCATCTTATATGCCGGAATCTACAGTAAGAGGTAAAACCAAAGTTTCTTGATCAAATTCATATTCCCCCTCCTTACGGAATACTGAGATCTATAATATATTCTATTGCATATGCAGTAGTATAGCTACAGAAATTAAAACAGGACTCAACAGACTTTAACATTATTTTGCTCCAGGTGGATTTGACCCAGTCCAGGGCTGCCTTGAACCAATCTGGAGAAATCCCAGATTGTCCTGATTTGGTTCAGGATCTGGGATTTGTCTGGACTGGATGCACAGCCCTATCACTAGGACTTTATTGGTATGTATGAACTAGCACTTTGGGTTATACCTAGAAACAAACTGAAAGTCATTGCAGATGAAGCAAAACTTCCAAGCAGACAGCCAATCTAGGGTAACAAAGATATAGCTATATCTTAGCAAAGATTTTAAAACATTATTTAGTATGCAGAATTACTTGAGTCTTGTTAAATGCAGCAGTGTTAAAATATATTGAATACTCTGCTGCAGCCAGTCTGATGTTAACAAACTTCAGACAAAAAAAAGCAGTAACAAAGCTTAGATTTATGCAGATGGAAACTGCAGCCCTGACAGATAAGATGATTAAAAATGCTTGCTTGTATTAGAGTAGCATTTGCAGCTGAGGCATAAATCTTGAAGATATCCATCATTATGGAAATACTTCTCATATGAGAGAAAAGGGGGAAATGGATAACCCAAATGGTAGCTTAAAGTCCAGTTTGGGGCAGAAGAGAGCACATTAGCTGTGTTAAGGTAAATTCACAGAAGCAAAGTTCCCTGTTCCATCCTCCCCCTTGCAGCCACCTACACCCATGGAAAAGCTTCTCTGGTGGATTGGGAAGCCCTCCCGAACTATAGGAGATGGGGCACAGGAAACCCTTGGGGAAGAAAATGAGACCTGGATCCTAAGCAGTGGTGCGTTCCTCAATCAATTCCAACCTTCATGTGCATTTCCATCTGGAATTCCATCTGCTCAGAAGAAAGTCCCACTGCATTCAGTGGGGCTTACTCCCAGGTAAATGGGGTTAGGACTGCAGCCATTCAAACAGATGAATGCCACAGTCAAGCTTACCATTGTGTTCACTTAAAATAGGTGTACACATACTAAAAGTAATGCATAACAAAAATGTTATGAGCACCAGCAACATTCTTTTATTTCACAGCATTTTCTTTTTTTTCTCCAGCTTTCTTCTACACTTGAAATTTCTTGCTGCATTGAGATTCTCACAAATTAGATCTTGCTGAAAGCAAATGAAATTCTATTGAGGTCCATGATAAGCTGAGGTGAGTTTTATTCTTTCACCTTTCACTGAGATTGCGAAAGCAAGATGTTAGTATTTTATGGGTTTCTTTAATATAAAGTAAAAATAAT